TAAATGCAAGCAATCAAGGATTAGAAAGTCAAATAGGAAAAAAGAGCCCATTCAAAATAGCAATAAAACTGTAAAATACCTATGGGGGAAAACACCTCGTAAAAATGTGCAATTTAAATGAAGAAATATTACATTACTTTGCTGAAGGACATAAAATACCAAATAAATAGGGGATATTCCATGTTTCTGACTTGCAAAACATATTGTAGGATGCTGACTCTTCTCACATTAAACTATTAATGCAATGCAATACTATTTAAAATCTCAATGTAAGTTTTTATTAGACACAACAAACTTACTCTGCAATTTGTCTGGAATTATGAATCTGCTTGAATGGCCATGAACATTTTGAAATATAAGATTAATGAATGATGACTTGCTATCAAAACATAAAATAAAATTATGCTACTAAATGGTGTGGGTCTCATGCAGGAATAAAAAGATCAACAGAATGGAACAGACCTGTTTCAAAATTTTATATTAGATAAAGTAGCATAACAAGCCATCAGGGAAAGGACAAACTATTCAATAAGTGGATATGAGACAAGTAACGAGTCATTCTGAGAAAAAAAAGGTAGACTTTGATTTCCCGTCTGTGCTGATATCTTTGGCTTGCTTCTCCAGATACCTTGGTCGTCCTTCGACACCCTGGTCTTTGTCTGAGAGGGGAATCTATATGGACTATATTAATGTCCCTGGGCTTCATCATCCTGGGAGTTGGGGCCAGGCCAAAGGGTCCAACTGGCAGAAAATCAGAGGAAAGGAGTGGGGTAGGAGCCTCTGCAACCTCAGGAGATTTGTTTCCCTTAACCAAAAGTCTCAGCTCTTCAGAGAGGATGGTCTTCTCTGCTCCGTCCTCTCTTTCCCCACCTTTTGCTCTTCAGTTCTGAGTGCTGAAAGCTCCTTTCCCTGTTGTTGTGGTCACACCATTGTAAATAAACCCTTTGTTAAACTGACCCTTTGGCAACCTCACTTTGAGCTTGCCCTCTAGTTTCTATTGGACTTATTTGAAGCATATCATTCACAAAACTAAGACCTAAATGTATTTTTAAATTTATGAAAATATTAAAACTATGGGAATATATTTATAATCATAGATACAGGAAGATCCTTTTTAAAATAGACACAAATCAAATTTCAAAAATGAAGGTATGGATACACGTGATTGAATCATAATTTCAATTTCTGGCAGATTAGATACCTATAAGCAAAGTTAAGAGAAAGGTGGAAAGAAATATTTAAAATGTATAACAAAGCCTTGGCTGGCATAGCTTAGTGGATTGAGCGCAGGCTGTGAACCAAAGTGTCATAGGTTCGATTCCCAGTCAGGGTACATGCCTGGGTTGTAGGCCATGACCCCCAGCAACCGCACATTGATGTTTCTCTCTCTCTCTCTTTCTCCCTCCCTTCCCTCTCTAAAAATAAATAAAAATAAAGTCTTTAAAAAATGTATAACAAAGTATTATTTCCTGGAACATATACAGATCAATTTTAAGTGCTATGTATAAAATATTTTTGCACATAAAAATATTTTATATAATTATATATTTAACTACTTTAAAATCAATTTTAAAAAGCTGTGTCATTAGGAAAACAGATAAGAACACGAATACGCATAGGAAACAGAAATGGAATATATGTGAAAAGATTACTATTATTAGTAATCAGGAAAATGCAAATTGATATGAGATACTGATTTTAACTATCAGGTGGGCCGAACTTGAAAGATCGATAATATCAAGAGTTGCTGGTGAGTAAGGAAACAGGTTCTCTTGTTCATAATCAGGGAAAATGTTTTAACTTGGCACAGTTTTGGGAGCAAAATCTGGCAATGTCTATTAAAATTATAAATGTGTATCCATTAGATCCCATTTCTTGGCATCTACTGGGGATAAAAACTTGCATATTTGCTCAAAGAGGCATGTACAAGGGATGCACATCATAATATTATTTGTAACAGTAAAAAAAATGGAAAACAATCTAAATGTCCTCCATCAACTGTGGAATAATTAACACATTCCCATTATAGACTGTGTGCAACCGGTTCTCAAAAGCAGTTGATCTCTGTGTCCTAACCTGGGAATCTCTAACACATTTTAGTGAAGACACATTCAAGTTCAGTACATCATGCAGACCATGACATCATTTGTGTAAATTTAAGTTCCCACAAAAATGAAACTATGTTCTTTTATGTTTATTTATATGCATGCAAACATACAGATAAATCTAAAGAATAAACACCAAATTGATATCTTTGCTACTGTTGGGTAGGAAACTCTGAGACTCATTGGGGGCAATGTCAGGGATTTTTTTCATTTTTTCTGCATTCTGTATTTCACTATTTTCTTCATGTCTGAAATTTTACAATGTGAATGTATTTACATCTTACCTATAAAATTGTTATTTCTTTTGTGAATAGTAGAAGCTCGTATTTCATTCCTTCAAAAGAAACCAAAAAAAAGGAAGAGCATGGGGTTTTAGAGTTGCATGGATGTGTGACTTTAAGAAACTTGTCTAATTCTCAGAGACCTGACTCTTCCCCTGTAAAACTGGGTAACTGTTGTGAAGATTAATGTAGATAAAGCCTGAGAGAAGTGCAGCTGAGTTCCTGGTACACAGAAAGTACTGATTGACCATTCCTTCTCCTCCATTTGGCACATGAGAACCTCAAGGCCAAGAACATGCCTCAGTTGCCTGTATATCCCGATGCCTGTGTAGATAGAAGCCCAGTCACATTTGTTGAAAGAATAAGGGAACGCACAGGCCACACTGGTTAACTGTTAATAAATAAACACATGTTCACATGTGTTTATTGTTAATGAATAAATAAGAAACGCTGTTCTGGCTTCCTCCAGGGAGATCAAAAGCTTCTGATTTGTGAGAACAAGAAGTCAAAGAAAATCAGAAAAGTAGGCCAGAGAGATAAAAGTTCTGGAAGTGGGAAGACTCATCACATGGGTCTGATGTTTTCCAACTTTCTCTTTAGGCTCCAGGCTCTGTGGAGTGGTAGGGCCACCATGGGTACAAGAAAGCCAAACTGAGACGCTATGTTCAGGCTGGACTGGATATCCAATTGGATATACTCTTGGACAATGGCCAGGCTGTCTATGACAACAGATATCTGACCCCAGCCTTTGCAGCGACTGGCCTGGGAAGCCAAAGCACAACTTCTGAAAGCTATCAGCCCCGAACATTCAGGACTTGGTCAATGCCAGCCAACTTCTCTAATTTTTGCCCCCCCTGCCTCCTCTATTTTTGATTCAGGACCAACCAAAGAAACCTGAACACACTCTCCAAACCAGCTGCATAAGGTGCTTCACTTCCACTTAGCCACCTTCTGCTTCCCCACACAAACCACCTCCAATCAGCACGTACCTGCAGTCTTCTCCCTTTTTCACTATAAAGCTTTCCTGCTCCTCTGCCTGCATCTGAGTCTCTGCCAAGTGCCAGTGATGGCAGCTGACTCCCTTGATATATACCAAGCTCTGAACGAATAGTCTCTGCTTGTTCTCCTTTCAGTGTTTTTGTTTATTCCCAGAAGGTCTTCTCCCACATTTCAACTAGATACTAGATGCATGTTATATATTGGGCTTATATATAAAATATTCCATCTAAAATATTCTACTGCTAAATTTTTTAAAACAAATCTCCAATGTAAATTAATGCCAAGAGCTAAAGTTCTCAAGGAATCTGAACTAAAAAAGAAACAAATAATGCCCAGATAGCAGCAAAAGACAGGGCTAAGTCTGGACAGGGGACAGAGGTTTCCAAAGATTCTGTGAACTTTTTTCCATAAGTCAGGCACAACTGAATCCAGAAGCTACAGGGAGTGGAGTGCATAGGTAAAATGCTTCCTTATTAGCCTCTACTCGAAGCTGGGCTAGAGCTAACTATAGTTGTAAGCCTGTCGAAATGTCCACCTGCCAGAGGTACAGACAAGTGAACCAAATACAGGAATAAGGCCTTGGGTGATTGAAAGAAGAGGAAGGTGGTCGGGAAGGTCCCAGCCCCTACCTCCATAGGAAAATGACTTCTTGGATACTGGAATTGGAGCCCTGCTTGCCTAACCATGACTATTTGCCTGTCTGAAATCCTAAAATTCTCACCATTACTCTATGCAGTCTAAAATCTATTTAAAATGTATTCCTATGTTTCCCAAACTGGTGAATGTCAATAGATGTCTCAGTAGAAAAGGAACTTTGCAGTCAAATAAGTTTGGGAAATGGTGGGTAAAACCAAGTCAAACATTTCATATTAGTAGGAGTTTGTAAAACCATCAGTGTGCTAACATATGTTGTGAATTTGCAAGAAGAGGATAGAGCACACAGCATTTTCCAAACTTGTTTAACCACAGAGCTGATTTCTTGCCCACCTATTTATATCTATCTCCCCGAACATCACTCTATGGCATACAATTTTGGAGACACAGTTTTGAGATAATGCTACTTTTCAGAGAAGAACTATTAGCTGGTTAACAACTCCTACCATCTACTGTAACTCACCAAAAGGAAAATCAGGAGTCCCCCCTCCCCACCCAGGAAGTGGCACAAGAGGGCAATTTTGATGGGAGGAGGGAAAAAAATAGGATCATAAAGGAAAGTCAGAGGCTAACAGAGGTTACAACTGGGTCTCAAGTCAACCTGGCGCAGATTAAGGATATTAGATATCCCATTCCAGATGGAGAAAGTCAAAGATTATCCTCACCTGGTTCATAATTTCTCTTAACTAACCACAGTATCATTATCTCCAGGAAGGTAGAAAGTGGCCAGGAGAATCATTGTATTAGATGAAAATTGAGATTCGGGAGAATGATTTTTATATAGCACTTTACCAATAATGGCCCACGGTTCCATTTCTGAGTTGAGATAACAGAGGATGGAGAAATTATGCAGCTTGCCTGGTGCCCCAGCAAAGCCACCTCCTTTCTGCAATACCATGAAGTCTTTGATGGACCCCAGGGAAGGGGAATGAATTGTTAAAAGAATTCCACGCTCACTTACTTTAGAATGACACAGCCCGATCCTGCTGGCGGTGCTATCCAGAACACTTGGATGCGCGTCCTCCTCCGAGGGGTGCTTTCTGTGACCGCGACAGGGCAGTTACTCATAAACTGTGTTTCTTCTTCATCTATGATCTACAGAAAACCAGGGACACATAAACATATTAAAATGTGCTTCACTTTGGGAAGGCTCTTAAGTTTCCGAGTTGACACTTTCTTAATTTTATTTTTAAGCCTGTCATTTTGTGTTAGCAACTCTAGATCCCCAGACACCAGAATAGTGCCTGGGATAGAGTCCCAGCCAATGCTTGTTGAATTAACATGCCGGCAAGGGGCTGGCATATGTTCTGGGCTCTCTGGGATGAGGATCTTGGGTCAGCACTTTGAGGAACAGACCACCTGGTGATGATCTTGCTCATTCACTAAGATGAGGTATGTCCCACTGCAGTGAAGAAAGAGGAGAATGGGCAACAGAAAATCCAAAGCAAACACTCTCTATATACCATAGCTAGACTTTAAACTCAGCTAGTTTTATAGCTCGAAAATAAAATGTTAGAAGAAAACGCCCCTTTGGAGAAGTATCTCAGAGTACGTGAAGTTCCCCGGTTTCAGAGCACAGCTTACTTGTGCAATCTCTACTTTCTTAATGTGTGCATTCCAGTTGCGTTCTCCCACCTTAACCATCAAGGTTTCCTATGGCACTGCAAGAAAAGCTGGTAGCCATTCCCATTACCTGAGGCTGCTTTCAGCATTTCTGCTGTTTGCATCTGGGTCTGCTGCCAGCACTTGCCTATCCATCTATTAGAACCGTAGACTATGGATCTTTGGGGGAATTGTCTAAATCCAATTGGTCTTAAGTGCCAACTCCAGTTGATTGGTAGTAGCTATGTCAGGAGTACTGTTAATACATTAATGGATAACATTTGAGTGTTTAGTACATGCCAAGCACTAAACTAAATGTTTATCTAAATTAGTCATTTAATCTTCAAATATAACCTGATGAGAGAGATCATTATATGCATATTGTATTTCTTTTCTTTTTATTGTTGTGCAATTACAGTTGTCCCCATTTCCCCTCAAATTACTTTCCCCCACCCTACCTACTCCCACCGTTCCCACATTCACTTCTCCCCCCCACACTGTCTTTGTCCATGGGTCCTTTACACATGTTCTTTGATGACCCTTCTCCTTCTTTGCCTCATTATCCCACTATCCCCTCCCCTCTGGTTACGTCAAAGCAAACACTCTCTATATACGGTAGCTAGACTTTAAACTTTAAACATTTGATCTTTATTTCCATGTCTCTGGTTATATTTTGCTTGCTTGTTTGTTTAGTTAGTTATTTTCTTTTTTTAAAAAATTCCTCTTCTTAGCACAGCAGTTAAAAAAAATTAAGTCACTCAATTAGTTCATCATATGTTTTCATCACTGGACAAAACAAAGGCAGTCATCTATTACATTCTGTTTTTCTCTGTTTTCTTTATCTTACTCCCATTTCCCTCCTCTGTTCAACACTTACTCCTAAATATTTTATATATGTTCTTTAGAGTGTGTGTGTATTACTTACTTGAAGTTATATAGAATTGTTTTGTATTTTAATGTTTCTTTTACCTAACCCTATGCTTTCGGGATATGTTACTGTGTGTGAATGTAATTCATTGATTCTGTTGCCTAGTATGCACTGCATGCATAGACCACATGCTATCTACCCACTGTCCCAGTGAGGAGCACTTAGCTGACTTCCAGCTCTTTGCCTCCAGAAACACTGCTGCAATGAAGATTCTCATGCTGTTCTGCTTGTGAACACACATGAGAGCTTCTTAGCAATATAAACCATGTAGTAGGATTGCTGGGTTGTTAGGTTGTGGGCATAATAATATTAATTTCACTAATTACTGCCAGGTTGTTCAGCAGAATGGTGATGTCTGCTTTTATTCTTCTAGCTTGGCACAAGTGTTTCCATTTCCCCACATCCTCAACAGTACTGTGATTGTTGGACTTTCTAATAGTTTCCCATTTGATACATGTACATTAGTATCTTGTTTTAATACTAGCAAATTTGAGCATCTCTTCACAAATTTTTCAGGTTTGTCCTTCTGTGAACTGCCTACTTAGAATCTTTATCAGTGGAATTTTCTGACTTTTTCTTGCTAATTTGTAGGACTTTCTAGATATGAGTCCTTCATGATTTACAAATATATTTCTGTTCCTCAGGAGTTCATCTTATCTTTAGAATTCTTTGTTTAATGGAACTCAATTAATTTTCATGTAGCCAAATTCATCAATTTCTCTCCTATGGCTTGCACTTTTTAAGTTTTGTTCAAAAACTGAGATCACAAAGGTATTCTCCAATATTTTTTTCCATTTGCTTTATAGTTTTACCTTTCACATTTAAGTCTTCAATCCTTTTGGAATACATTTTTTTAATGTGATAAAGTAGGGACCCAACTCTATTTTCTCCATACTGTAAGCTACTTTAAAAAATTAATAATTTTTTTAAAGAGCACTTTTAAGTTTACAGCAAATTTGAGCAGAAATTAGAGTTCCCACATACTTCCTGCCCTCACACATGCACAACTTCCTACATTATCAATATCTAGCACCAGAATGGCACATTTGTTACAATACGTGAACCTACATTCACACATTCTTGCTACTCAAAGTCCGTAGTTTATTTTAGGCTTCACTCTAGGTGTTGTACATTCTAATGGTTTTGACAAATGTATAGTGACATGTATCTATCATTATGGCATTGCACATTGTAGTATTGTACTGAACATCACTGCCTTAAAACTCCTCTGGGCTCTACCAATTCTCCTTTATCTGTCTCCCACCTCAAAACTTGGCAAGCATTAAACTTTTAATAGAATCACTTATTAGTTCCAGGAGGGTTTTTTGCCATTTTTCCAGATTTTCCTATATATTTCATATTGTTTATGAACAAAGACAGTTTTATTTCTTCCTTCCCAACCTATGTACCTTTTACTTTCCTTTGTCTTATTGGATTAGGCAGCACTTCCAGTATGATGTTGATCTCAACAGGAAAACTTCAAGTTCCTTTCTAGTAAGTATGAAACAGCTATAGGCTATTTTTTTTTTGTAAATGTTCTTTTTACATTTACAACAAGCTGAGGGCATTCCTCTCCATTTTTGAGAATTTTTAACATGAATGTATATTGGATTTTGTTAAATGCTCTTTCTGCATCCATTGATAAGATGATGTGATTTTTCTTCTTTAGACTGTTGCTGTGATAGATTACATTTATTAGCTTTTAAATGTTGAAACAGCTTTGCATATTGGGATAAATCCCACTTGGTTGGGTATACAATTCTTCTTACGTATTGTTGGATTCAATTAGCTAATATTTTTTGAGAATTTTTGCATCTATGTTCATGAGAGATATGGGTCTGTGCTTTTCTTGCAAAGCATTTGCTTGGTTTTAGTATTAGGGTGATGCTGGCTTCATAAAATGAGTTAGAAAGTAGATAATTGGTATAATTTCTTCCTTAAACGTTTGATAAAATTCACTAGTGAACCCTGGTGCTTTCTGTTTTGTAAGGTTATAATTATTGATTCAATTTCTTTATTAAATATATGCTTATTTAGATTGTGTATTTCTTCTTGTGTGAGTTTTAACAGATTGTGTTTTTTTAAGGACTTTAACAATTTCATCTAGGTTATCAAATATGTGGGCATAGAGTTGTTCATAATACTCCTTTATTATTTTTTAGTGTCTGGAGACTTTGGGGTGATGTCTTTTCTTTCATTTCTGATATTAGTAATATGTTTTTTTTCTGTTTTTTTCTTAGTCTAACTAGAGGCTTATGGGTTTTACTTATCTTTTTAAAGAGCCAGCTTTTGTTTTTATTGATTTTCTGTAGTTGATATCTTGTTTTCAATTTCATTGATTTCTGCTCTAATTTTTATTATTTTTTTCTTCTGCTTACTTTGAATGTAATTTGATTTTCTTTCTCTAGTTTCCTAAAGTGGAAGGAAACTTAGATTATTAATTTTAGATATTTCTTCTATTCTGATATGTACATTCAATGATATAAATTTTCCTCTAAAAAGTGGTTTTGCAGCATCCCACAAATTTTGATAAGCTGTACTTTCATTTTCATTTAGTTCAATATATTTTAAAAATTAGCTTGAAGTTTCTTCATTGATACATGTGATAGAAATATGTTGCTTAATCTCCAAGTATGTATTTGAAGATTTTCTAGCCATCATTCTGTTATTGATCTCTAGTTTAATTTCATGGTGGTCTGAGAGCAGTTAGTATGTGCGTTCTATCCTTTTCAACTTAAGATTTGTTTCATGAACCAGAATGCAGTCTATGTTGGTGAATGTTCCATGTGAGCTTGAGAAGGATGCGTAATCTATTGTCGTTGGATGGAGTAGTCTATAGATATCAACTACATCCAGTTGATTGATGGCATGGTTGAGTTCAAGTATGTCCTTACTGATATGCTGCCAGTTGCATCTGTCCATTTATAATAGGTGTTGAAGTCTCCAACTATAAAAGTGCATTCATCTATTTGTCCTTGCATGTCTATTAGTTTTTATCTCTTGTATTTTGACACTCTGTTGTTCAGCACATACACATTAAGGATTGTTATATCTTCTTCAACTATTGAGCCCTTTATCATTATGTAATGCTCCTCTTTATCCCTGCTAAATTTCCTTGTTCTAAAGTCTGCTATGTCTGAAATTAATACAGCTATTCCTGTTTTCTTTTGATTAGTGTTAGCATTGTATATCTTTCTCCATCATTGTACTTTTAATCTATATATGGCTTTATATTCAACATGAGTTTCTTATAAACAACACATAGTTGGGTCTTGATTTTTTATTCACTCTGAAAACCTGACTTTTAATTGGTGTATTTAGACCATTGACATTTAAGGTGATTCTTGATTATAGTTGGATTAATACTTGCCATGTTTGCTCTTGTTCTTTGCCCTTTTTCTTTGTTCCTATTTTTGTCTTCCAACATTTTCTGCCTTCTATGTTTTTTTAAATATATTTTATTGATTATGCTATTACAGTTGTCCCAATTTTTTTTAAAGTATTTCTATTTTTTTAAGATTTTATTTATTTATTTTTAGAGAGGGAAGGGAGGGAGGGAGAGAGA